TCACAATGTTTATCAGAACCCCCCCCCCCCCCACAAATTAGATTTTCTCCCCCCCAAATCATGCAGCTACATTAACTTCGGCTTACGTTTGCTGTCGGATCACCATTTGATGTCTTATATGAAATCACAACACACTGTTTATATGACGGTGCTTTGTTTTGTTGCATATGCTTTACCTTCCCCAGGCAGGCCGTCCCGGCCCAGGATGAACAGCTTATAACCGTACTGGCCCTCCAAAACCTGCGGCAAAGTGCTCATTGCAAAAATCTCAGCCTTTTCGCTTGAGCCCTCGAGGACTCTGGGATAGGCGATGTATGCATCATACTGCTTACCATCACAATCTAGAAAAAAACAAACAGCACAGAACATGCAAAATAAATACATTAAAGGCAATTATTATTATGCATTTTCAGCATGTCCTGCAGCGCTGCGATTGCACTGAAAGGTGTTAATTCTAGTTTATGTAACCGCCGTAATTTCCCAGTAACTGCACAATGCTGCTAAAGTGCAGAAGTGTATTTCCTGTTTATTGACTACCTGTGGTTTTGTAGAGGAATTGAAACACAGTCCTGACCCACAAGGCCAGCTCCACCTTGAATATGGTGCACAGAAGCACACCCGTCACGAAGAGCAATGCCACCGAGCCCAGGAGAAGACCAAGAAGCAAGAAAATGTTCGGATCTGAAGGGACAGGACAGATAAATTATATTTACGTTTCCTAGTGAACATGTGAAAGCAGATTAGTTTGCTTCTTGAAAAATTATTTCCCACTTGCCAATCTTCAGATGCACTTACAGGCAATATTAACTTTCAAACATGTTATTCTGAAAACACAAAAAAACTTGAAAAAAATTGAATTTACTAACTTTTTTTAAGGTATAGTGGTTGCATTCAATTTATTTTATCTACATTTAAATAAACAAATTTAGTTGACTAAGTTTCAACATTTTTTTTTACATTTGTAGCTAAAATAAATTGTTTGCAACCACTATACCTTAAAAAATGTTTCATTTTTTTCAGTGTATGCAGGGAATTAAATAAGACTAATCTGTTATAAAAACAATTTGTTTAGTAAAAACATTAATTTGTTAAAAAATAAAAGTAAACGTATATAAACTAGTTAATAAAATGAAGAAAGGGGCTTTCAAGTTGTTATTTTTTCCAAATTTAAATATTCAAATATTTGTAAAAAGACGTTAAAAATATTACAATTTAAATATTAAAGTCATATTAATATAAATTAATATGAATGAACATAAAATCAATATAAATTCAACATTTAAATTAGGGATGTAAATTAATTAAAAAAACTAATAATCTGAATTTTCTGCAATTATTCATAAAAATTTGAAAATAAATAAATTTCACAGCTGTCTTACAATTTTCTGCAAATATTCATTATTCAAAATTGATGTAGTTAAACCAAATCAATAAATATATTAACACATCAGTTCCCCATAAACGAGGTATAATTTATTAAATGTTATTGTTCAATAATGACAATTTTTTATTTAAAGTGATTATTTACATTATTTAAATGATAGTTAACCCATAAACTTCACACAACCCAATAAATTCTGCGCAATAAAAGAAAATAACAAAGAAGGTGCAGATTTGTTGATGGTCTGTGCTTTCTCGTTTTGCATGCAGGAAAATCTCAGCGGCTCTGACTGCATGAGTAACGCTCACTGCTCGCTTAAAGGTGCTGTATGTACGTTTTTGACTCCACTAAAGCATACAAATACCATAATATGTTTGCAGATATTTAAGAAACATGCCAAGTTAACATACTTGTTTATCTGAAAAGCAATGCTACAGTCAGTTATTCTCCTTTGAAAATGTGGGTTCCGGGCCGGAATGTCAGGCTTTGTTTTGGTCTGTGTGACTCCGCCCACTGCCAGTTTACCCAATTGTATTTCGGCACCCCGGGTTGCCAGTTGGCGGGAAACACAGCGTATTTAATTTCAGTCATGGAAGCTGGCAAACAAAAGGGTTCAGAGCGGGAAATAGAACTTTCTGGCCATCCTAAAAAGCCTCGACATCCATCCAAAAAACGTTATGATCAACAACGGTATAATAAAAGCAGAATACATTTTGAGAGATGGCTGCTGGTGTCGTCAATCTGGCAACCTGCGTGTGCGTCAAGTCTGAGGAGGAGGGACCAGGTGAAAAAAAACCCTTCAATATTTCAAATTCAATATTTTGAATTTGGACTGCAATACCTAGTTCAACCACTCGGTGTCAATCCTACATACAGCACCTTTAACCAGCGTTTAACTAGTCGTTGACGCTTGCCCATCTTTAAAATGCATACAGAAATGCATATAAACTTTAAAACACGTTGCTCTGCAAACACAGAATGCAGGGAATTAAATAAACCAAATCCGTCATGAAAACGATGCCATCAGCCGTTAATACATTCATATTTTAATAAATAAAAGTAAATAAATTAGTTAAGAAAATTAAGGGGCATTCAAGATGTTATTAAATATTTAAAAATTAGGGTTGTAAACTAATACAAAAATTCAAATGATTCATTAACATTTAATTTAGACAGCATAAATATTTATCAGTATTGTAATTTTACAGTGGTACCGTAAAATAAAAATTTTATATGACTTCTTAAATACTTGATTTTTTTCTTTTACATTGAAATAGTAATGTTTACTTTTTTTTTTTTTTTTTAGAAATAAGAATAAAACATGATTTTATTAAATTATTGTAAATATAAAATATTCAAATTGTGCTAGTTGAGCTCTACAGACAAGCACAGCAAACCTGGATTCTATTTTAAATCGTCATTGTAACTTTCATCTGATAAAAACAAAACAACAACACTTTCTTGACATAAAAAAGCTTCGATTTGAAACTGAACTTGAGAATACACACAATTATTAAATTACAAAAAAAAGTTTCTGGAATTATTTCAAATTGATGCAGTTAAATCAGTCAATAAATATATTAACACATTAAGTCCCCCGAACCATGACATCAACATAAAAGACGTATAATCATTTAACTATGTTTAATAAAAACTCATTTTTAATGAAAACTGATTACTTAAATAGTTTCATGATAATTAACCTTTAACATTTTGGACAACCCAATCAATTTTTTGTAATAAAATAAAAACAAAAAAAAAGGTTTTATTTTCTCTTGTTGTACATGCAGGAAAATCTCAGCAGCTCTGACTGCATGAGAAACACCCACGGCTCCCTTAACCAGCGGACAAGTTTCCAACAAGTAGTCGTTTGCTGTCGACACTGAAAGTGAAAATGCTCTGATGTACAGTTATGAGTGGCAGGATTTTGAGCCAATAAAAATGCACATATTTATCGACTGAATTGGCTAATAGAGAACGATGTGTGTGTTGAAGTAGTATTTATTTAAGTGTTGTAGTAACGCACCTGCAGGGACGAGTGTGATCTGAGCGCTCGGATGTCCTCGGCTGCTGGATGCCATACAGGTGAAGTTTAAATAGAAATCCTCCTCCGATACGGCAGACAGCGAGAGCGTTCGCACAATACGATAGCCATCCTCCATCTGCCTTTCACTTTACGAGGAAAGCACATGGGTTACACTTCAACTGATGGAAAAACATATGACTCACCAATATACGCATATATACTAATACACAGAAATGTTCACCTTCCAAAACTGTGTGAAAATCCATGAACATGTGCTTTGTGTGTCTGCCTGTGCTATTCTCTCTTCAATGCATGCATGAAGAAACTACACGACAAAGTCTATAATAAAATCTTATCACAGGAAGGATATATCACAAGTTATTTTTACTGGGAAAAATATATATCAAAATGTTTTTATGTATAATATTATATTGTAGAATTATTAATAACTATTCTAAATAATAATGTGGCAACAGTTATTTTTGTATTATTATCCAATGAATGAAATACTTAAATGAAAGATGCTTCATCTTATTTTTTTCTTCTTAGCAGAAAATGTATAGATGCAAATCAATAGATTATTTATAATATATATAAATCTAGTCAATATGGTTTTAAACAAGGATAATTAATACAAGTCTTATAATCACAATGACGACATATCATAACAAAGTTGTTTTTTCCATTAAAATGTTTATTATATTCAATAATCAAGTGTTAAGGGCTTTTTTTGTATTAACCAATGAATGAAATACTTCGCAAACATACAGCGCTTCAAATTTATTGAGTATTTTCTCTATTTAGTATGAATTATAGATGCAAGTCTCGTCTATATGGACTCAGACAACAAAGGATAATTAATTCACAATAATGACATTCATCACAATACTGCTATACTTTTATTTGAAAAAAGTTTTAAATATATAATAATAATAATAGTGGTAATGGCAATTTTAGTATTATCCAGTGAATTAAACACTTCACAAATTAAAGGTGCTTCATCTTTTTTGAGTATTTTCTAACATTATGTATAAAAAAAAAAATATTCATGATAAATGCATGACATGTCTAGTCTCTATATGGTTTCAAACAACAAAGCATAATTTATTCAAACCTAAAATCAAGACTGTCCACACCAAAACTGACCAAATTCAAGTCTTAACCGATCTTTATCTTATCTGAAACACAGCTAACTTCAGTACGCACTTCATGGGTTCCTGATGAACGCGATGTGACGTGTTTCGGGAGATTAACTCCTCTTCAGACTCCAGCAGGACTTTCCAGATCACGTCAACCATGGGAATGCCTTTGCCCTGAACTTCGAAGATGCAGTCTTTCCTGAAGGATGAACCTTATGAACAAACACACACAGGTGAGTCTGCAGTACTCTCATAAGTCATGCGAAGCATCTTGGAGACGCCGCCACAGTTCCTCTGGATTGAGTCTGTCTCAGTTTGTTCTGTTTCTTCATGTTACTCCAGACAGACTGATGATGATCAGATCAGATCTCTGTGTGCAGCAAACTAAAATCTCACTCGATTATTACTTTTAATGGCAAAATGAACGTTTGGAGATGTAAACTGAGATTTCCTACTGACACACGACAGCAAAAGATAGAAATAACTGACTTCAAACCATTTTTTCAGCTGGAGAAAATACTAGTGTTCCAATCATTTTGGCCACCACTGCACAAACTGCAGTTTTGTTGCATTTCTTTGTAGGATGTGGTTACTGAACTTCATGTGTACAGAGCACATATACTGAGAGGTTAAAAACCAGAGAGAAATAAATGGTAATACAGAATAAATAAATGAAATGTGGAGCTCACCCCTCTCCACTTTGATGATCTCATTAACAGGCTCGATCACTCGTGGTTTCATTAAATACTCATCTGCAAGAATTTAAAAAAAAAAATAATAATCATATACCAGTAATTAAAAGCACCGTTTTGCTTGAGAGTCCAAACAGCTGATAAAAACATCACGATAATCCACACCACTCCAGTCCATCAGTTAACATCTGGAGAAGACAAAAGCTGAAACAAACCCATCATTCAGATGTTTTTAACTTCAAACCGTTGCTAAAATCAGAGTCCATAACCCATAATAATGCTTCCTCCAGTGAAAATGTGTTCTGGTCTGAATCAGGAGAGAAATGTGCACAGATCAAGCACCGTTTACAAGCCAAAACAGCTCTAAACAAATATGTGGCTGGATTTTGATGTGAGAGACAACAGGAGATGGACTTCTTCACTGGAGGAAGCATTATTATGGATTATGGAGTCATATTTTAGCCGGAAGCAATGGTTTGCAAGTTAAAACGTCTTAATGATGGATTTGTTTCAGCTTTTCTCAAGACATTAACTGATGGACTGGAGTGCTGTGGATTATTGTGATGTTTTTATCAGCTGTTTGGACTCTCATTCTGACGGCACCCATTCACTGCAGAGCATCCATTGATGAGACGCCAAGTCACACCAAATCTGATGAAGAAACAAATGCGTATACACCTTGGATGGCCTGAGAGTGAATGAATTTTCAGCAAATTGTCGTTATGTTCACACAGTCTTTCCATTGTGCAGTAAATGCTCACCGTTCACTACACACGCTATAGTTTCGGCCATTTCACGGATAACTCCAGCTAAACGAAAGGTCATTTTGCAGGTGTAAAATCCGGCGTCATCGAGATGTACTTTGCGTATGTTGAGCATATCTTTATGTGGAGCAAATTTCTCATTTTCTTGAAGGAGCTTGCAGTTCTGAGAGAAAAGCAGACACAGAGACAAAGATAAAGAGTTTACATCAACTATGAAATCTAGGGGTCAGACTGAATGAATGAGTAAAGGTGCACAGATCCAAAATAAAACAAAATGTATATTGCCATGTCGGTTTCTCAACTACCCTCTGAGAGTAATTACATTGAATTTATGCTTTTCGTAGACACTATAATTGGAAGAAACATATTCTGCATTAAAGGCATACATTTTTGTCAGTTTATGCATGTGAATTTTGCTGGCAATTGAAACCATTATTTACTGTTTGAGCAGTAAACTTTTAATAAAAGTTTCCGTGCTGTGTTGTCGTGTGCTATAATGTGTGTGCGTGCGTCTATGAAAGCAGCGTAGCCTACTGCATATAGTTTTAGTTTAGCTATAAGCCCGAGCCGAACCCGAAGCTATTCATTAAACATTAACCTGAACCCGACCCGAAACCCGAAAGTATTTCGGGACCCGTTGGGCTCGGGTCAGGTAGCAGACCTCTAGAAAGCACACAAAAAAAAAACTATATATATATATATAAAATATATATATAAAATATATATATATTTTCAAAATAAGATTCACTTTGTGAAAGTCATATGATTAAAAATAATGTTTACTTGTTTGTAATGTTTGAAAAATATTAATGTTTAAGGTTTATTGTTTTTACCACTTTTCCCTTTTTTATTATTGTGAATTTTAGCGAACTGAATTAAAGTAGGGTTAATTTGTTCCTTAAACATCCACCCTATTTATTTAAAAATCAAGGTCCCCACACTCAACAAATTAGGCCTGAATTTAATATTTACATATTTTAATTGCATATACAATTTCCATCTATATGGATTACAATGTTTTAACAAACTACTAAACTTAACGTGATGCATATTAGTCAGCCATACATAAAGAAACAACTAAAAAAAAAAAATCATGGAATAGTTTGTTATTAACCATATGGATCTATTTGATTTTACTTAATCATTTTTAAAATGCTTTTATACAAATTGCTTAGAATCAGCATAAATTTGTTCGCTGTGAAAACAATTAAATGTATTTATCAGTTAAAATGTATGAGACTGAAACAAATTTACTGATGATAAATATATAAACCTGTTCACTGTGTATTTAAAACATATTCAGTTTATTAGTACTATTACAGAAACCTGACCCGTTTCATTTATGCATGACTGACAAATATATGAATATAAAACTGTGTCATCCAAATGCATGGCAATTTTATTTGCAATTCAAATACATTAATCTTAAATCAAAGCATAATGTGATTCCTAAGACTTGGAGAAGTCATGGAAACTAATGCAATTTAAAAAAAAGTTTCTTTACTGATGATAAATATATAAACCTGTTCACTGTGTATTTAAAACATATTCAGTTTATTAGTACTATTACAGAAACCTGACCCGTTTCATTTATGCATGACTGACAAATATATGAATATAAAACTGTGTCATCCAAATGCATGGCAATTTTATTTGCAATTCAAATACATTAATCTTAAATCAAGGCATAATGTGATTCCTAAGACTTGGAGAAGTCATGGAAACTAATGCAATTTTAAAAAAAGTTTCCAAAATGATTAAATGCATTTTGTTCAACAGAATGAATTATCATAAAATAGATTTGGAAAACCATAATAGCAGGACTTTAATTTTTAAATGCACTTTTAAAATGGCTTTAAGGCCTCTCAGGCGAACTTCGTCAGATATGGGGATAAACAAAGCATTCTCTACCTTGTACCACTGGATGGACGGACTGTCCACACTCTTTAAATACCTCCTCAGAGGGCAGGCGAGGAGATCATTCACATGAGCTCTGATCCGCTGGACTCCCCTCTGAGGTCTCTCACAGTTTTCCGATGTCATTTTGGACACCACCAGCCCCGTCGCCTGTTTGTAGCACTCATTTACAGTCCTGATGACATGAAACACAGACATGTTGCATGACAAAGACATGACGGCTAACTCAATGCATGCTATTTTAAAGCCATTTCTTAAAAATCGAATTTATTCCAGTATTCTGCATTCAGCTGTCATGCTTCTCACACAGCCGTGGCATGGAAAGAGTAAGATATTATGATACAAAATTATCTGAAGTATTAAGTGTTTTTTCCAAAACACAGCACATATGGCATGCAAATGACAAATCCTGCTCCTTTGCTGACGGTTTGAGCACTGTCCATTAATCTAGATCAGTATTTATCAGTCTTTTTTGTCCTATGTTGCTCAGAGCCCCATTAATAAAGCCACATATGTTCCAGTATAATAGGAGCTATATTATCCAGTTATATTATACTGGGGGGAAAACTTGATGTGTTAAGGTACCCAGTACAAACAAAACAAAATAAAATAAATACAAAAATAAAATATTATAAAATAAACAAATAACTGAAACAAACAAATAATAACAGTCCTAATATTCTTATGTTTTCTGATTCATAGGTTTAGCAAAATAAAACAAATAATATTATAAAAATAAAATATTAATAAAAATACAAATAATACTATAAAATAAAATAATAATAACAGTAATAATAATAATAAAACGACAACTAATTAAAAAATTTCTTGTTCAAAGGTTTAGCAAGACAAAATACTATAAATAATAATAATAATAATAAACAAAAATAAAGTTATTAAACAACTTTATCATTTTTTATTTGATTCAACAAAACACAAATAATAATAATCCTATAAAATAAACAACACAACAACAACAAATACATAAACAATAATATAAAAATAAAACAAATTAAAGGGGTCCTATTATGCTCTTTTACAAAGTCTTGATTTTGTTTTGGGGGTGTCCTAGAACATGCTCTCAAGCTTGGTGTTTTTCGAAAAACGCATTATTTTTCACATAATTTACATTATTACAATACCTTTCTCCCCAGCCTGGCACAAACGGCTCGATTAGTTCCGGGTTTGATGAAGTCCCGCCTTCCGAAAAACGAAATATGTTGTGATTGGTTAGCTGTCCCAGTGCATTGTGATTGGCGAACAGCTTAGACGGTGTTTCAGTACTGCCACGCCCCTTGCCAAAGCAGCAGGTGTGTTCGACTTCATGCAGCGCTGCGCAGACCGATCAGCGAGAGTAGCCGCTTGCAGTCGGGGGCGGAATTGAACACGGAGATGTCAAGTCGGACACTTTCTGCTCCCGGTAGTGACGCTCTCGTGGTGTTTGCATACTCTATCACAGATGAAGTGGATGACATGCAATATTTGTCAAATACACAGACGTTTCAGAAACATTTTCATGAGCAGCAGATATATGTGACCCTGGACCACAAAACCAGTCTTAAGTGTCAATTTTTCAAAATCTGAAATCTGAATAAATAAGCTTTCCATTGATGTGTGGTTTGTTAGGATCGGACAATATTTGGTCGAGATGCAACAATTTGAATATATGGAATCTGAGGGGGCAAAAAAAATCTAAATATTGAGAAAATCATCTTTAAAGTTGTCCAAATGAAGTTCTTAGCAATGCATATTACTAATCAAAAATTAAGTTTTGATATATTTACAGTAGGAAATTTACAAAATATCTTCATGGAACATGATCTTTACTTAATATCCTAATGATTTTTGGCATAAAAGAAAAATCGATAATTTTGACCCATACAATGTATTTTTGGCTATTGCTGCAAATATACCCCAGCGACTTATGACTGCTTTTGTGCTGCAGGGTCATATATACTGATTATATACTGCTTAATACATCGCCATCTGTTCAAGAATAAAGTTCAACAAACATATACTGTTTAAATACCAATAAAGTGGGGGTATATATGCTTTTATCAGTGTTTTTTTGATAAACGTGATATAACATTGCGACTACAGTAAAACAGCTTTTACTGTTCTAAAAACACAGATTTGTGAGCAGTATTGGAATTGAAGATGTTAGAAACACACGTCATTGTTGTCATGCGGTGAATCTGGCCAATCGTGAAACAGCTGCGTCGTCATCAGCGCTCCTGCAGTCGCTCTGAAAAAGCTGCGCCAGCCGGCTGCTCTCGAAACGCTATCACGGTACTTTGATGCCACACGTGACAGTGACGTGGCGTCGGCTAAATTTCTAACCGGCATGCACTGCTTCAAGTCAGCCACCGATCGGTCTGCGCAGCACCGCATGAAGTCGAACGCACCTAACAAGTTACGTCTGCTCCGGTTTAGTTAAGGATGGCATCAATATTACCAAATCAATTTGAGCCGGATTCAGACCCCGAGAATATTGAACAAGAGGATCGCGCAGAACCTTTGCACGCACGGATATTGCAATAGAGTGGTTATTATTTTTTTTGGCTAAATCAAGTTTTAGATAGGATGCCAACAACTGCTTAAAAATAACTGCATTACTATGTACAGATAAGTGCATATGTGTTGTGTTTATTGTTATTTAATTCTAACATTATAACATGAATCGCAGTGAAACTGTTATACAGTTGAATTTATTTATACCATAGTCCAGTGTTTCCCAGGCGGCACATATATATGCAAACTCATTCTCTGCCAGCAGGAGGCGCTGTTGGCGTGGTAGAGATCGAGCTTTCCCCGGTAATGGCTGTACACAAAGCAGCGCTCCGCTCCGCTCACAAACGCTGCTTTATCAGACATTACATGTAATATTAAATGAAAATGACATCCAATTTTCTGAAGACAGTCGGTTTCCTTCAGAAATACAGTGATATAAAAACACCCGCACTCAATGTATGGAAAACACTGTAGTCTCATAATTGCAGATTACATCATTGTCCAGTATTGTACTGTCAGCAATTTATTATAAAAACGTTTTCATAATTATACATATTTACATACATAATTATTCAGCTGCATGTGTAATAACTTGTGAAAACTTGAGGCTACAGCAGCACTTCGTCGTCGTCGTCGTCGTCTCGTCTGATGCACTTGTTCTAACCACGACCTCGCCCCTCCCCACCCCCCAACCATTCCAATTTCCGTAGGTGGGAATTATTTTAAATGTTATTCTAATGGGCCGTTTGTGACATCACAAAACCCGGAAAACAAACGCTGTAGTCCAAACGAGCCGTTCGTTGTAGTTCTTGAAAGGTTTTTTTTTTTATAAAACGAAATATCTCCCTTTGGAGTGGACTTTGAGATTTGTAAGTTTGAAGATCTTTTTTATGCCCAAACATACACACTATACTCTATCTAAAATTCAAACAGTGAAAAGCATAATAGGACCCCTTTAACATTTTAATTAATGTTTTAAAATGTTATCAAATTAAAATTTTACAACATTTATTTTTGGCAAAGTTCTGCACAACAGAGGTATACAAAGTTAAAACATGGACAAACATAATATTCCTTAAAAATAATGTTTAAATAAATTCATTATTATGAAGAATATTATTATTGTTGTTATTTTAACTTTGAAGTACATTACAATGCTAATATATTTGTAATTAATATCAAGTTAAATCAAACTTTTATTTTGACGGGTTGTAGTGGACCTTTGAGTTTCAGAGTGTATTTGACAATGTTTTTTCTCAAATAAAACTTGGAAATGTTTATTTAAGTTTTCTTTCAGAGCAGCTCTGGTGATGTTCATGTTTATGTAGATGCTGAAAACACCATGCAGTGTCAAGCGTACTTCAGTATAAAACGGTGCCACTGCCATATTCAGAGACATGCAGAAACAAGCAGATTATTTATATAGCAGTCTCTTCACGCTTCACAGACACGTATCATTAGAGATGCACCGATTGCAATTTTCTTGGCCGATTCCGATTTCCTGTTAGTGTGATCTGCCAATGCCGATTTTGATTTTCTTTCTAAGAACTATAATTGACAGCATATACAAACAAAAATCTACTTTTCTTCAACGCAAAGTTTTATTTTCAGTAATAAAATAACAACAAATAAAATTGCAAACAACAGCACAAATAAATGCAATAGAATAAAGAGAGCTATGAAACTAAGTTTTCTAATATGCCGCTTTGTGACATCACAAAACTCCGGAAAACAAACGCTGTAGTCCAAACGAGCCATTCGTTGTAGTTCTTGAAAAGGGATTTAAAAAAAACGAAATATCACCCTTTGGAGTGGACTTTGAGATTTGTAACTTTCTAGATCTTTTTTATGCCCAAACATACACACTACACACTGGCTAAAATTCAAAAAGTGAAAAAGCATAATAGGACCCCTTTAAACAATAAATAAATAACAATAAGCAAATCATTTTAACAGTCCCAATATTTTTAAGTTTCTGATATATAGGTTTTGCAAAAAACACATAATAATGATATAAAAATAAAATAATACTAATAACAACAAAAACAAAAAACAACAATAAATAAAAAAAAATCCTATAATAATAAATAAAACAACAATAAAAAAATATTTGTAAAGTTTCTGATTCTTAGCTTTAGCAAAACTAAATATTACAAATAATAACAGTAATAGTAATAATATAAAAATAAAAAAACAATAATAAAGTAAATAAACAATTTTAACATTCCTAATATTTAGATAAAACAAAACACAAAATAACACTATATAAATAAACAACAACAAATAAATAAACAACAGTATAAAAAAATAAAAAAGTCCTAACATTTAATTTTTCTGATTTATATTTTATATTCTCATTTCAGATTCTTTACTTGTTCACTTACTGCTATTTTTCCTTTTCATATGATTTCAAGAAACCTCTCATAATAATCCTATTTTTTATCTTATGTCTTATGAAGCCCTGGTTGGACTTCCAGCAGCACATTTGATCTGTACTTTACACAAAGGAACATCTAAGCACCACACCTTTGCCTTACGACTTTTTAATTGTTTGAATCTGTATATTCAGCGTTAAACAAATCAGCATCAGTTTTAGCCTGTTTTCTTAACCTTTCTTTGCTTACAGCTTCTGTCCATGACCGTAAGTGTGTGTTTTGTGGCAGCAGGTTGTTTAAAGGTCAGGATCTTCAACATCTGTTCGACACGACACATATTAATCCTTCCTGATCTTTCCGTCCATTTACTTCTTCAGTCAACAGAGCGCTGCAGCTTCAGTGAATCTCGTGAAAACACGGCAGTGGAAAAAATCTCATCGTCTAAAAAATAGACTTCTAGTTCTTCAAGGAAAATGGCATTTCTGTTGCATGCAAGGCCCATAACCACGAATCTGACAGACTGACCACATCCTCTGCTCAAGATGTTTTTCTAAGAAACATTTCACTTCCAAAGTGACTGCATGTGAATCAAGCTCCCCCTGAAATCTCCCACCTCACAGAAACGCCCCCCAATCT